TATAGCATCTGGGTGACCGAGCTTCGCTCGGCGTTTTGTACTATTTTTCAATTATTTAAATATAAATTTAAATATTAAATTGACAATTACTTAATTAAGATATTAAAGTATAAAAATATATTTAATAAGTTGTATTTTTATTCGATAAGCAACTTTTAATAAAAACATCTGACAACATACAAACTTATTTTAGTACCCTCGTTTCGCTCGGATGCTTCCCTGGGTACTTTTTAATATTTTTTTTAACGGAACCCTTATTCTTTTTCTAAAATAAAAGTATCCTATGTTACTCTCTATAATATCAGATATCTTCCAGTGAAAGTCCCGTCAAAATCAGTTCAGCCGTTTCAGATTATCCGGAACAAACAGACTACATACTTATAAAACACATATAAAACACAGTACTTATAAAAAACACATTTTTAAAGAAAATTGTCTGTCTAATTTTCTTTAAAAATGTGTTTTTTTAAGTACCGTATATAATTTCATATGCATTTAGTAAAACGTGATTATTTTGACATTACAAACAGACACTTCACTTTTATTTATCTTTATAGACTAGACAGATATGAACGAGTATATTGTATGTCCTCCTCCCGATCGATTTCGGCCACGGCAGTCAATCTTACTGAGACTAGCCAGATAGCCAGCGCAGGAGATATTATAGTGCACGAGTGTACGCACAGATACAAGTGCACTATTCCTGTTTCTCTCAAATTCCGATGGGGCTCTGGGACTTTCCTTAACAGAAAGACTCAATAACTCAAAAAACTCGACTTGGCGTGACCTGTGACTCGAACTCGGTTTTAGTGCGTAAATGCATTTCCCAACGTTAAAAAAAAGCCACTACACTCCCGAGGCAGTGAGTATATTATATAATGTATACTAATGTATATATTAATAGTATATAAACATACCATTATTAACTTTATTATTACAAAACTAAATATATTAAAAACACCTTTATGGTTACGTGCATACAAAAATTATAATAATTTTGTGTCCTATAGTTAAGTTATGTAGTCTGTCTGTCTGTCTGGGAACGTAGCACGAGAAAACCACGGAACAGATTTTAATTAAATTTGGTATGATGATAGTTGGTTATCCGGGTCAACATATAGGATACTTTTTATTGCGGGAAAATATCTCATCTCTGAGAAATCTTAGTATAGATTAAAAGCGTATCTAGAGACGAACCCGAGCGTTTGTTTGTAATGTCAAAAAACTACTTATAACAAAAACACTTTTTTTATTTTTGTCTGTCTGTTTGTTCTGGCTAATCTCCTAAACTTCTGGAGTGATTTTGACGGTACTTTCACTGGCAGATAGCTGATGTTACAAGGAGTAACTTAGGCTACTTTTATTTTAGAAAAAGAATTAGGGTCCCGCTCAAAAAAATTAAAACGTACCCAGGGAAGCGTCCAAGCGAAACGAGGGTGAGTAATACATAAAAAGTTACAAAATAAGTGTCCTGAATGAACACCTCGTTATTCACATCACACGTATCGTATAGGTTATTTGTATGCGGGCCTTTATGAATTGCGACTCGGTCCATTGTCGCTTAATCGAGTCAATTACTCAATCTTGATGGACGGAATGGTGTACTAAAAATACTTCAGCTAGCTACAAGGATGATATCTAATATATAAAATTCTCGTGTCTCGTGACCGATTCTTATGGAATTCTCTTATTGAGCCATCTGGAATAAGTCGAGATGATGGTAAGAGACCTGATGGCCTGTCGCTGGTTCCTTGGGAAAGGGGACAGGCCCTATTGTGGGACGCTACATGCGTTGACACATTGGCCCCGTCCCATGTCAGGGAGACCGCGTCTAAAGTGGGAGCTGCGGCGGAGAAGGCTGAACTACTTAAGTTGCGTAAATACACCCTTAGTCAAAATTATGTTTTTATTCCATTTGCTGAAGAAACCCTTGGCTCATGGAGTCAAAGTGCTAAGCTCTTCTTAAAAGACATAACACCCCGTCTTATCACCTCTACTGGTGATAGGAGGGCTGGCGCATTTTTCGCCCAAAGAATCGGCATTGCCATTCAACGGGGGAATGCGGCTAGCATTCTTGCCACTATTCCACGCGGAGATGACTTGTACAGTAATAACTAAGTGTACATATGTTTTGTATATATAATTAAGTATATTTGTAATTTTCTTTTTTGTTAATAAAGTATGTAAAATTAACGATTTTTATATTAAAAATAAATAAATAAAAACTTTATTAGCATAAATTACATTTCTTTACAATTAGCTTCTTTATGATAAGCTCAAGATAAGATAATTTTAAAGTTGCTTTATAGTTTGGTTTTTTACTGCCGACTGCACTAGACCGAGCCTGTCTTACAGACGGCAGTTTCTTCCTTTATGGCACAAAAGAATATAATATCACTAAAAGCTTATACTTAACTAAAAAAACAACAAAATAAAGACAATGACCCTAGAAAGTCAGTTATATACTAAAGTTAACATTGATTTACAACATTTTTTTTACAAGTACCGCCATCAAAATTAATATATCTAAGAGAGGTAAGGTTAGACCACTCAATACAATGAACTTAAGCAAAATTTTTAAATAGTTTTAAACAATATGAGTATGTTTTTTATGCTCATTTTCTCCACATCACCTATATTTATTCGTAGGTAATTAATATTATTATATCGGTCTATTATCATTTATATAACGCATTTGTGTTTTATACATCTATACATTATTATAAAATTGTAACTAAGCCGAATCTGTACATTAAATATTTTTTGGAAAATCTTACTGAAATAGACATTATTATCGATACAGAGGCCGAATCTACAGTTTTTAGAATTTTTGTCTGTCTATCTGTTACCGCATCACAGAAAAACCACTGGAGGGATTTTGATAAAATTTGGTATGGTGATAACTGGTTATCCGGGTCAACATATAAGATACTTTTTACCGCGGGAAAATACTTCATTTCTGAGAAAAAATACAAAAACTGCAATGTAAGAGTATACTAATATGTAAAACTTAAGAATTTGGTGTTCGGTGATCTGAATGCGGGCGGAGCCGCGGGCAATGCTAGTATGTAAATATTTTTAGAATGTTACTTTTTATACATACATATGTATGTATGTATCCTATATATTGTAGTACGATAATATTTTACATGTGTATGTGAGTTAGTGTGATAGTACGCGTATGTGAGTTGATAAAGTGATAATTTATTTAGCTATTGCAATTAATTACTATAATAATAATTTCTGTGTCATCATAAGCACTTTACTATGCATATACATTGCAAATTTTATATCGTTTATACGTAATATTTTTTTATTAATAAATTATTTTTTTTGTTGAATTGTAATGAATTATTTTGTTATGTTAGGCATTTGACATCAACATTAGTCTATACTAATATTATTATAAATGTAAAAGTGTGTTTGTTTATTTGCTTGTTTGTCCTTCTTTCACGTCAAAACGGAGTGTCGGATTTACGTGATTTTTTGTATAAAGATAGGTAGGGCTGGAGTGTGACATAGGCTACTTTTTATCGCGGGAGATCGTCTCATTCAAACACGTTATAATACAATTCAATTATTGATCAGAATTACTTGAAATTTGGTATTAATGCTCTTCAATAAAATTAAATAAATATGTGTTTTAGCATTTTTCGAAATTCATCCTATAACGGGGTATAATAGGGGATGAAAGTTTGTATGAAAATACTTTATAAGAATTTTTTTGTAGTTTTAGCGCGAGCGAAGCCGCAGGTTATGCTAGTATAAAATAATTTCGATAGGATTTAATTGACAGGATAATTTTCAATACATTGCACACGCACATCAAATATTTAATGAATTTATATTCAAAGTGTAGATGATATTGCAAAATGCGGTTATAATACACACGTATGCGAATTCACATACAAACGACTTACCATGACTGCGAATTCACTTGCGTGTGTATTGTGGCCATGGGGTGGGCTGACCTGGGGCTTGTACCTATGGACCTCAGGATCTGCAGCCATACATGAAGACTACTATTATAAATCTGAATGTTTGTATATGTATATGTATTACTCCTCACGATGAAACGGCTACACGGATTTGGATGAAATACAGTATAGCAAATAGGTACTAGGTATACTTTCTTTTTTTTTATTAGAAATGGGCTCACTCTTGACCTTCATCTAAGCTCGAAGGCACAGATAAGGTCTACGATCTAGCGAGTTTGCCCAGGAGAAGCCTGTTAACACGCGCCTTAAATAGGTTCAGGTTATACGCACTCGGAAAGACAGACGCCGGCAGCGCATTCCACATCTTGGCTGTGCGCATTATAAAAGATGACGAATAGCGCTTAGTGCGAGTGGTCGGAATGTCAACCAAGAAAGGATGGTATCCTGCAGTACGTCTGGTGTTCCGATAGAAAAATGGCGATGGCGGTATGAAACTGTGGAGCTCGTGGGCACACTCCCCGAAGTACAGTCTGTAGAAAACCGACAGACAAGCAACTTGGCGACGGTGTGCTAAGCTGTGAAGCTTAGTTTTCACAAGCTTTTCATCGCCGATTAGCTTTTTACCTGGAAATACCTGGAATATACCTGGAGTAACACATAGGCTACTGTGTTACATCCATACTAATATTATAACTAAGTTTGTCTATCTGTCTATTACTTTTTCACGCTTAATTCGCTGAACAGATTTAAATTAAATTTGGTATAGAGAGTTTGAGACCCTGGAAATGATATAGGATAGTTTTTATCATCCCCTAAGGGGGTAAAAAGGGAGGTGAAAGTTTATATGGGAAATCAATCATTTCTGGAATATTAGATATAAAACTCATCATACCTGTGTATCATGAACGAATTAACCACTTCGTTCATGCTGTGTATATTGAGTCTATCTATTCCATACTACCTAAGCGTCAAAATGTACCTAGGGACGATCCTGAGCGAAGTGAGATTGAGTCGCTAGTATAATTTAATAAATAAATATTTTCTTTTATTTACAGATAAGCAATGGGTTCATTACCGCGAGTTTCAGTGGTATCAGGCGGCCGGGTTCCAGTGCCGGCGGCGCCGCTCACCAAACATCTAGAGCGTATGGGCACCGCTGATAGAACCGCTCTTATTTATTCAGGTAAGACAGGTATAATACATACTGACACTATATACGTTTACATTATATAAAGGATGGTTAAAAATATTTTGTAGAAGAAATTCATGTACCTAGATGTAATATGCGAAGGATTTGTAGTAAGCAGCATGCTGACCGTACCTACATGTGTAATTTTATATGATATTGGAAAACAACACAACCAAAGATGTTTATCTATTAGGTTTAATTCTAAAAAAAACATAAAAGTTAGATGTTATATGTACTTCCTTTTTAAATCGGACAATGATTTTTGATTGCTATTTCAGTTTAGTAAAATTTACTTTAAAAAATTTAAAAGAGGTAGGTACCTACACAATTCATCAAATTTGTTTTAGACTTTAGTTAAAGTGAAATAATTAATGACTTTGAAGTGATTTTAAATATTATTAAATGTAAAAAAATATACCAAGTTCTAAGTTTGTAAATTAAAAACTCGTCAAAGCAGCGTACTGGGTATACCATAAAAGTACATTTGTCCTTTATAAATTAACTATCTATTTTATTTCTGAAATAGGGCTATATGTTATTATGCAAACTATAGTTAATCGTATTTGCAATTATCTGCACGCAGTTCAGTGGATTTTATCACAGTAATCATTAAGCATAAATGATTTTTAGTTAGCGATCAGTGACGAAATATATCCTTACAAGGGATAATTTCTGAGCTAATGCCATTCGATCTATACCATAATGAATGCAAAGAATGTGGCGATAATAGATAGACTATCTTAGTTTAATTCTATTTGCATAAAAATCAATATTAAAATGTACTTTCAGATATTAATTTAATCCAATTTAAAAATCTTTCGAAACGTTTTTATTTAAATACACTTATACAAGTTTACGATTCTAATAATAGAAAAACATAACAAGGCAGTGGTAGCTCAGTGATAGCGCGCTCGCTTCGGATACCGAGTAAAGCTTGTTCTAGTCCCGGGTCTAGCACCCCTGATATTTTCATGTGCGAATCATTTCTAACATGATTACCACTTGCCTTGCGGTGAAAGAAAACATCGTGAGGAAAACCTGCATGTCTGAGAAACCCAACTAGTTTTCGAAAGACATGTGAAGTCCGCTAAAACACACTTAGCCAGCGAGTCGGACTATGGCCTGATCCCCCTCGTATTGAAGGGAGGCCCACCCCCAGCAGTGGGACGTTAAAAAGGGCTGAATAAAAAAACATGCACAATTACAATTTTTAAAAAAATCTCACAAAAAAACTCTAAATAATAAAAATATAATTAAAAATGTAAGCAATAAAGAACTATAATTAAAAGTTTTTAGTTTAAAAAATTGACAATGATATTATAATTTTAACTAAAATTTCAAATATAAGATACTCAATTAAAATAAGTTCACATTATAAAAAATAACTTAAAAAAAATTAATACTCGATAGAGGTACATTAAATACCTTTTTTATATTTTGTGTGTGTATGTATGAATGTTTTATTTATTTAGATGAAACCAATAATGCACGGGTAAGCTATGCCGAGTTGGACGGCCGCACCAATGCTATGGCTCGGGCGATAACTGCGCACGCGCGCCCTACCGGACCTAATCGTGATCAAGATTTTGTGATCGCTGTGTGCATGAAGCCAACACATAAGTGAGTATACAAAGAGGTTTCTTCAATTTTAACCCCTTAAATATAAATAAATTACTTCATATATAAAGATTAAGATCGAACTTTGATATTGTAATAAAAAAAATAGAACTTTTTAGGATGTTTTTGAATTTTATACCAAATCGATTTTAAGCTGAAATACTCCATCTGTCACTTTAAAATCGATTATTCTTGTTATATTCGTTTCTATTCGAGAAAACCGTACGTAGAGTGACTTGCTCCATTTTTTTAATAATAACTAGTTTTTGGTCAAATCGGTTGAACCGTATTGTATATCGGAAATAATACAATATAAAGGTCCTTATCAGTTATTTAAACTTAAGTTTTAGAAATATGAGCTCAATATGACTTGTTTTTAATAGACAGATATTTAAAAAAAAAAGCTTTTAAGAACAATATTAATTAAATTTTTATTTCAGTACAATAATCACGCTCCTGTCAGCATGGAAAGCTGGTGCAGCGTATGTACCGATGGAACCAAGTTTTCCACAAGCAAGAATAACTCACATACTAACAGACGCTCAGCCTTCGCTTGTTATTTATGATGACACAGGTTAGTATTTAAAGTGGGATAAAAATATAATTTAAGTATTAAAGATTGTTGTGCTGACTTATTAATTAAATAAGTCCTAAAAAACAGAATTCCAGAAAGCGTTAAAAGCTCGTATTGCTTAATCCAAAAGTTTGTTTGGTAACGGCTATTATATTGTCTTCAAAAAATATATAGAAAATGACACACACACTTTGAGAATGATGTGACCGCCTAAAGGCTATTTCCATGTTGGAGAATGATAAAAAAAAGAATGATAAAATATTGTTTATCCCGCTGAGTTTTTTAGCCAAAACTATAATTATTAGACATTGAGAATTCAATCATTCTGTTTTCTTAGCAAACCCTTCAATGTTCAACGGGAGCGGAGTACCGACCATAGCATTTGAGGAGCTATCTCTGGAAGCCAGCGCTCTTCCAGCGGATAGGCCTAACGAAGACGAAGTGTTGGTACAAACAGATGCGGATACCATCGCTATTGTACTATATACTTCTGGCAGTACTGGCATACCGAAAGGTAAGTTAAAATCTCAGACAAAAAACTAAAAAATTAAAATAACGTATACGGAGTCTGTAGTAGATAATGACTGAAACTTAAAATGGTATTATAATTAATCTATACTAATATTATAAAGAGGCCGAGTTTGTTTGTTTGTTTGAACGCGCTAATCTCAGGAACTACTAATCCGATTTGAATTTTTTTTTATTTTCCATTAGATAACCCGTGTATTGAGCAAGTCTATAGGTTATATATATCATCCATGCTACTACCTAAGGAAGCTGAGCCAATGTTAACAAATCGGTCAGACTTCCATACATTATTACTAATAGCACTTGTGTTGTGTACGTGTAGTTTTAGCGCGAGCGAAGTCGAGGCTTTGCTAGTTGTTTCATAATACTATTCCTGCGCTGCGCCAGCGATTTATATAAGGCAAAATACCTATACAATAATGGTGACTTTTATTGTAAAATTTTATCAAAATATGAAATTTATTATTATTTTGACATATTGCCTAAAAGACAATGATAGTTTTGTTTAACTGTAATAAGCTATACTTTTTTCTTTAAAATTTAATATGATTCGCATATCTTCAGTCTTATCTATATCCACACTAATGTTATAAATGTGAAAGTGTGTTTGTTTGTTTGTCTGTCTTTCTTTCACGTCGAAACGGAGTGACGGATTGGCGTGATTTTTTGTGTGTAGATAGTTGGAAGTCTGGAGAGTAGCATAGGCTACCACGAGAGATTATCTAATTCCCACGGGAATATACTTTTTAATAAAATCCAAAAAAATGTTTATAATCAGAATTACTTGAAACTTGGTGTTAATGTTCTTTAATAAAATTAAATAAATACGTGTTTTAGCATTTTTCGAGATTCAGCCTATAAGGGGGTAAAATAGGGGATGATTTGAATGAAACTTCAGATTTTTTTGTAGTTTTAGTGCGAGCGAAGCCGCGTATTCTGCTAGTATATATATATATATATATATTCCACACTAACCGTTAAAACGTACCTAGGGACGAACCCGAGCGAAGCTAGGTTGACTCGCTAGTTACATATAGAAATAAAATACCAATCTATATTCAAAGACTCATTTACACCATGCTAGCCTCTTTTATATATACAACTAGCGTTTTCCTGCGGCTCCGCCCGCATAGTACATTAATCACCAACATATCATATACTAAAACCTTCTCCGAAACACGCTGTATCTTATGGTATGAGTATTATTCCGATCGGTTCAGTAGTTATCGCAGTTTAACCAAACAAAATATCGGCTCTCCATTTATTAGTATAGATATACAATGTACATATATTAAATAATTGTATACATCGGTAAAACGATTTACAACATGTTATCTCTAAGTAAATTGAATCATTCATGACCACACTTAATTGTCTAATACAATTATGATAGTATAAGGCGTAAGCCATTATTAATTGAATATAATTGTTTACATATCAAGTACGTTTGTTATGTAATCGAACAAATCGAGATATTTCTATTATAACACTACTTATTTATTATTATATGAGAAATCAATTAGATATAAAATAGAAAAGAAAATAACTTTTTTTTGAACAGCAATACAGAAACAGCAATATTGAAGAGAGGCTCGAACCCAGCAGTGGGACGTAAAAAATTGCTGAATACAATACACAAACATGTAATGACCAACCGAATGAAATTATCAATATAAATGAAACTTAAATTATGTTTAAATATATTAAAAATATATTTAAATATATTAAAAAAAATGTTTATAGCTTAACATAACCTAGCCTTTAAATTTTATGTTTACGTTTTGGTAATGCCAGGAAAATTGAGAAATTCGGAAAAACCTAAAAACTTTTTTGATAGGACTTTTGTATAAGTTCAAAAATCACAATCAAATTAATAAAATTTGTGCAGGACAACGGGTATCTGTTTAGCTTAGATCAGCAATAAGGATGCATGTTTTTATTTAATTTCCAATAGGCATTATTTTGTTTAAATAAATATTTTAAAGCAAAAACGCAACTATGTTAATTATAAATAAATATGTTGGGACATTAAACACACAGCGCCATCTAGTGATAGGCTATGAGGCTTGTGTTATGGATACCAAATAGTTGTACACTACACATGTATAACTTTAAATTTAAATACATACACATAATAAATATAAACACCCATGACTGGAGTACAAACATTCGTGCTCATCACACAAATGAATGCACCCAGCGGGACTCGAACCCGCGACTGCTGGCACAGCAAGTAGGGTCAGTACCAACTGAGCCAAACGTGTCGTCATGTTGATACAACTCTATGAAGTACATATTGCGAATTCATCAGTCGAGTTTTATAAAAGTTCTTACAAAATAGACCTACAGCTCCGATAGGTAAGTGCAAGACAAAGTAATACACTAAAGCTGCAGACCGTAATAAGAAAATAATTTCTTTCGTAGTCGGAAGATTAGCGTGTACATACGTACAGACAGGCGCTCTAAATAGACGTATTAGACGTTTTACGTTCATATTTTCCTTTATATACTAGGTCTTTAATAAAGAATTACTTCTAGGGGCATTCCAGTTACAATATAAGAACTTAATTGATATTCTCAGATAAATACGATGCAAAAAAAAACTGATCATCTATAAGTAATTTCTTACATTATTTCAACGTGTTATGTTAATTATAAAAATACTTAGCTATAAGACATAATGAATTACCTAAGAATGTGGATGAGGATAAATAAATAATGCTTTACTTAACTGACCCATTTGGTTCAAGATTCTAGATCCTGTATAAATAATTACAGATACATAGTAGGTACTTACCTGGACGACCAAGCTTCGCTTGATATTTTTTTGGAAATTATATATTATTATTATTTAATTATTTTTATATTATTATTATGTTATTATTAATTATTGAAAATTATATATTATTATTATTTTATTATATATTATTAAATTAAATGAAATTATATATTATATTTATTAATAAAGAATTATATAAGAAAAAAATTGTTTAAAGTTGTTGCCCAGCCAGAGCAGAGCTTCGGAAAATAAAATAATCTGAGTTTTGACGCTTATCGAGTCCAACTATAGTTAAGAACCATCCTGAATACCCCCTAAGTATAGAAAAAAAAATCGAAATCGGTCAAGTCCTTTTCGAGCAATATTACGAACACACGTACTCCAGAATCTATACTAATATAGATAGTATAGTATTATAAAGAGGTAAAATTTGTTTGTACTAATCCGATATGAAACATTCTTTTTGCATTAGATAGCACGTTTATTGAGGAAGGCTACAAGCTATATATAATGTATAGTCTATCTATTCCTTACAAACTTAACTGTTAAAACTTATCTCGGGACGAACTTAGAACCTAGAAGTGAAGAGAGGGTGAGTGGCTAGTTTAATATATAAAGATATTTAATAAGAAAGCTTGTAGGTATATGAAACTTCATATCCTTAAGACCGGAGCCATTAAAAATAAATTCAAGAGGGTGAAAACTAATATAAAATGTCGGTCCGGTTATCTGAGGGCATTAGTGCCTTCAGATAATGAACATGATAAGAACGATGACTGTAAACAAAGCAGATCAGGTATACTCTGCAGAGATTCATCTATACTAATTAAGAAGGCATTGTTGGCAGTGATAGCCCAGTAATAACGCTCTCTCTTGGGAAACCGAGTGAAGCGGGTTCAAATCCCGGGTCTCGTTGATATTTACATGTGCGAATAATTTCCAACGTGATTACCACGTGTCTTACGGTGGGGGAAAATGCGCATTTCTGAGAGAACCTAGCAAGCTTTCGAAAGGCATGTAATGTCTGCCAACCCGCAACCTGGCCAGCGTGGTGGACTATGGCCTGATCCCCCTCCTATTAAAGGGAGACCTAGCAGTGAGACGTTAAAACAGGGCTGAGAACACAATTAACAAGGTATATTCGTGTAAAAATGACCAAATTTTGTCGGTTTTCATTAAGTAACTAATCTTTGAAGTCGATTTAGCCAACTTCGAGTTGTCGTATTAATTTATAACTTTGTTTATATGTAAAAATTTGGTTAATGAACAATACAATAATTTCATACCACCTTATCTGATGATGGAACAAGGACAATGGAGCTTTAGTGCACTTTTGACGAGCTTCATACATTGACGTTTAATAATATCGTGTTTTGAAGTTTTTTAAATCTATAATAATTATTTTTCGACAATCTAGGCATACAGTTACACACAGTACTGTAGGCACACTGAACATCTCGCACATCATTAGGCCAATAACTTGAACTCAATGTTAGATCGTCTTAGTTTATCAGATACAGAACAATAAGTTATAAATAAATATGTCGGGACATTAACACACCGCACCATCTAGTTCTATGGTAAGCTACGAGGCCTGTGTTATGGATACCAGAGAGATAATACAATACCTATATATAACTTTAAATAAATACATATTATAAATATGAAGACCCATGACTGGAGCACAAAAATTCGTGCTCATCACAGTAAAGAATGGCCCCAGTGGGACTCGAACCCGCGACCGCTGGCACAGCAAGTAGAAACTGTCACTAGAAACTGAAAAAAACGTGTCGTCAATAAGTTGACTTTAGAAACCTCAATTCCTTAAAAAAATATAGGTATTAAATGCAAAAAATTTATTAGTATAGATTCCAAAAAAAATGTTATATTATATTGTTAATAATAACATTTTATTAAGTTGACGAGCTAACTGTATTAGATATATATAAGATTAAATCATGACCACAGACAACTAAACTACTCTTAGGCACGATTTGCACGCAATATATTGATTTTATTTATAATACCAATTAATAAGAATATATAAAAGGCACAAATGATCTTGGAAGATAATAAAAAGCTTTATAAAGATGCATAATGTTCGGCACGAAGGTCGCGGTTAATAACTGCTTCATACAATAGGAACAACAAGGTTTCCATTAGGCTTCTAATTGATTCTTACTTTTTTTTCTTTTTTATTTTTTTTTATAGCAAAGGGCCTTCATTATAATTGTAAAATTAATTCAGCAGCCTGTATTTTTCTAAATACATGGCTACAGTGTGTGCACTTAAAATATTATTTTAACGTATTTATTTTTACGTAACAAACGTTTTTCTTTTAAAATTGATATTACAAACTAAAAATTTAACATCATTATACTCATCGTACATTCTAAATCGATTTTCATATTTTTATGTTATAGGTTGTAGCTCAAGGCAGGGTCATAAATTAACCCCCCCAACGTGCGTTCACCTTGTCGTGGTGGGGGGGCTCAGTAGTGCCCGGCAATCCACCGGGCGCGAATCCAAGAAACCCACAGGGAGGTGGCCCACTTCGGTGGGCGGTGGAAGGTGGCCCTCTTCGGTGGGCGGTGTACCATGCGGATTGCTCCTGGTACTTCTCTGTTAGCAGAGTGGACTTTGGAGCAACCCCATGGTTGTTGTGGTCTGCTTCGGCAGACCTGCCGTCGGGGCGTCGTAGTTGAATGCGTAAGCGATCCTGCGACGTCCCATTAAGACGGCGGAAGGCCTTGTTGGATTTTAGTGGGTAGTACTGGCCTTGCCGGTGAGTCCCACACCTCGTGCGTAAATGCAATTCCCAACGTTAAAAATAAAAAAAGGGTCATTAATTAAAAAAAAATATCTTAGAATGAAACAAATTGATTTAAGTGTTCTTTTACTTCAGTGTACTTTTTTTAGATAAAAAGTAATTACTAAGTAACTAGGAGAAGATACAAAAGGTTTTGAAATACTATATTTGAATTTGCCTTTATGCGTTGAATCGAATCGTTTGGTGGAAATCAAAGTTTTATCATAGCAATGATGCTCAATTGTGGAATATTTAAAACTATCTGTTACACTAAACTCTGTAGGACTGACTAAAGCTATTACTCTTGTGGGGTTTGCAATAAGAGTTTTTTTAATAATTCAACACGTGCGAAAAAGGGGAAAATGTTGAAATAAAAATTCTATAGCTTAAAATGTCATGCTTGAATTAATAAACGTTAAAACACCTTTTTTATTTGTCTAGACATTCATAAAGTGTAAGGAAACTTGATTCAAATCAATATACTACGAGTATTTAATGAAAATGTTTACTTAACATGTGTCAGAAGTAACAAATATATTCATGTTATGAATAGGTAAATAAGTAGATCCGTATTTAATAAGCTTTAGACAAGTCAAATACTGCGAATTTAAAAAGTACTGGCGTCCCTAGTTACGTTTTAATGTTTAGTATAGATTTCTCAGAGATGAGATATTTTCCCGGATAACCATCCACCACTGGACAGATTTTGATGAAATTTGGTATGATAGCTATCATCATACCAAATTTCATGAAAATCTATCCAGTGGTTTTCTCGTGATGCGGTCACAGACAGACAGACGGACAAAAATTCTAAAACTTATAGATTCGGCCTCTGTATCGATAATAATCACTATTTCAATAATATTATCCAAAAAATATTTAATGTACAGATTCGAATCTCTAAAACCAAGTAAACTTACTAAAAAGTAACTAAGAAGTTAATATTTTAAACAGACTATGCAACAGATACATTTTTTTTTTCATTTTTGATAGTTTTTTGTTTAGTGGTGGCTTCCAGTTTGTCATATATATAGTCGTGAAAATATTGATGTAGGTTTGTAAATATGTAAAAAAACGTCAGTGTGTTCTTATGTACGCATAAAAGAAGTTATATTTCTTTGGCGTAACAGAACAAAAATAACTAAAGATTTCATTCCGTATGTCACAGCTCTCTGTTTGTAAAAGGAATGATAAATTCATAAAATAATTAAATAAAGCATATTACAATCATATATTTATAGAATATTTTTTAAGGAAAGAATAATATAATAATATATATCATTTATCAGACAATAACAACGGTTACCATGGAAACAAACAGTTATGAGCTAACTTCATCATTTCACTTTTTGGCTGTCGGTGTGCACGCGCATCGTAAAAATTTTTCTCTCATATTTTTTCCAAACGTCCCAAAAGAAGTATAACTTCAATAAATGGAATAGAACACACATTATTTAATAAATATGAGAGACTCGTCCCAGTTGTAAGAGTATATTTTGTCATACTTTAAAAATGCGAGAAAATACATAAGCAATAACTATTTAGCTAGTTCCATCAAACTTCAACCTTTATATACCTATAATGTCTTTCACAGGAGTGCGACTTCCATACTCAGCGATATGCAATCGCCTTTGGTGGCAGTTCAGAACTTTCCCGTACTCTGATACTGAGAACGTGTGCGTTTGGAAAACTGCTCTGACGTTCGTAGACTCTGTATGCGAAATATGGGGGCCATTATTGCATGGGAGGACTTTACTTATTCTGCCAAGAGAAACTACGAGGGACCCGCAAAAGTTGGTTCGCGTTCTGGCTGAATATCAGGTAGGTACTATTAGACTTATTATATATATGTAAATAATAGAACTTAATATATTATATTATTATAAAGAGATAAAAGAGTTTGTAAGTTTGTCAGTTTGTTTGTAATGGATATTGGATAAACTAATCTGCTGAACCAATTTAGATGAAATTTGGTACAAAGATAGTTATAGACCCTGGAAAGGATAGTTTTTATCCTGGAAATCATCCTTTAAGGGGTGAAAAGGGGGATGAAAGTTTATATGGAGAATCAATCATCTCTCAAGTAAGGGATATAAAACTCATCATACCTATGTATATATTAATATAATATAGTGTATCTAAATGTAAAAAATAATAATAATAAATAATATGTTGGGAAATTAACACAGCACCACCTAGTTCCATGGTAACCTACGAGGTTTGTGTTATGGATACCAGATAGTTGATACACTACACATATAAAATTTTAAATACATACATATTATAAATGTAAACACCTATGACTGGGTACAAACATTCGTGCTCATCACACAAATGATTGCCCCCAGCGGGACTCGAACCCGCGACCGATAGTACAGCAAGTAGGGTCGCTACAAACTGACCCAACCTGTCGTCTATTATAAAAACAAAACTCTTCTTTCTTTCTTGAGCTTGGAGTAAAAAAAACCAGTTATTTCTTTAAAAATCACAAAGAAATCTTTACCTTTCCATGTTCTTTGTCTATTTGCAGCGTGACCATAATAATGAATTGAATGTTTTCAATTAAAATGTCGTTATTGTCAAGGCAATAATACGTACACTTTATACTATTTCGTTTTAATTAATGCGGACATTACCTTAGAATTTACGAGTTGAAAGAGTAATCATAAAAGGTTCACTTTATAGCTTATTTTATATCTGTTTTACAATTAAAACTAGCATCATTCTGTTATAACAATACAGATATCTATATATATATAATAAAATTGTAACTAAGTCGAATCTGTACATTAAATATTTTTTGAAAAATCTAATTGAAATAGACATTGTTATCAATACGGAGTCAGAATCTATGGTTTTTAGAATTTTTGTCTGTCTGTCTGTCTGTTACTGCATCACGGAAAAACCACTGAAGGGATTTTCATGAAATTTAGTATGATGGTAGCTGGTTATCCGGGTCAGCTTATAGGATACTTGTAACCGCGGAAAAATATCTCATTTCCGAGAAAAATACAAAAACTGCATAGTAAGAGTATACTCATATGTATAACCTCAGAATTTGGTTTTTGGTCATCTAAATGCGGGCGGAGCCGCGGGCAATGCTAGTATGTACATAAGAACAGGAATATCATATATGTGTACTTTTCAGATTAAGCGCCTCGTGCTAGTGCCAACTCTCCTTCGTTCTATCCTTATGTATCTGTCACTTAATCAGTCTGAAAGACCTTTACAACATCTCAAATTGTGGGTCTGTTCCGGAGAAACGCTAAGTAAAGAATTGGCATCACAATTTTTCCAATACTTCGGTGATCAAAATGGCTGCAAATTAGCCAATTTTTATGGAAGTACTGAAGTTATGGGTGATGTTACCTACTTTGTGATGGAAAAAGCTAGTCAGTTAGAGATGTTCCCGACTATACCAATTGGTAAGCAATATAAAATATTTTCCCACAAATAGTGATTGTACATGTGCCTCTCAAGGCTCAACATTGGTTCTAATTTTAAATTTCTTATACAATTTTAACGTTTATATTTTTAGCAAAGGTTTATTTATATAATAACTATAACATCATAAAATTCATATTTTATATTTGACTCTTAATATAACTAAAATAACTTTCACACAAACAAATTAATCTTTTTACAGGTGCGCCATTAGATAATTGCGCTGTCTATCTGTTGGATGAAGAAATGAACCCAGCGAGAGAATCAGAGCCGGGCGAAGTTTGGGTTTCAGGAAGGAATCTAGCGAAGGGATATGTCGGAGGACAAGGATCGGACAAATTCTGTGACAATCCTCACGCTGCCCATCCTGGTATGATAAGGATTTTCATGCATAATTTACGTAAAAAAAAAAATTTTACTTTCTTAGATTTACGCGAATATTTGACATTTTAAATAAAACTATCTTTTCGGATTATTTCGCGTTTTTTTTTGGGCCTTTGAGATGTCACATGAACACCTTAGTCTCTTCCGTGACCATGATTGCTGTAAAGCATTCAAACTTCGGAAACCAAAAATCAAAATAAATCCGCGAAATAATCCGAAAATTTAAAACAACATAAGATAGTTTCATTTAAAATAACATTTTATTTTAATAGAGTAATATAAAGACTAACAAATTTAAATAAACTGTCGATAATAATAATTATTATATAATCTTCAATAAACTACTCAATCTTTACTGTTTATTTAATAATCATTTATTATAAATGCAATCAACGGTTCCTGGATAGGTATAATTTATAGGTTACATTGTGTGTAGGATACGTTTATGCCAGTAGATAAATCGTGTTCTCTCATGCATTCGTTTTACATAGAAAATATAAATATATTATTGACCAATTTCAAAAAAAAAAGGAAATTCGTCTGTATTTCTTGTGGGTGTGTTGTTTTTAATCTTTAGGTTATGATAAATTAAAAAATATTATCACTTTTTTTTCTTTTATATTGTGGCTATAAAATATCACTGCGCCCATGCCTGGTCTATTATGAACATCACCTCTAAGGAAGGATTTATAACTTTGAAATGATTTTAATGACGATACCGTTTCTATTAAAATAAATATCTGTACAGATAAATAAAAGTATATACCTGTAATTTCGAAAAAAAAAAGCTTTTTACTTAATGCATATGAAATTATACGTGTACGTACTTTTAAGAAGAATACACCTTTTTTTAATTTTTTGACTGTCTGTTTCTGTTTGTTCCGACTAAGCACCAAGCTAAACTGATTTTGACGGGACTTTCACTGGCAGATAGCTGATGTTATAAGGAGTAACTTACTACTACTTTAATTTTAGAAATAGAATTATGGTTCCGCAAAAAAAACGTAGGTAATATGTAGTTAGGTACGTAGTAAAAATATATTTATTAATGAATTATTCTCTCGAACCATTAGATTTCAGTCGTCTGTACCGCACAGGCGACTACGGCATCTTACACAAGGGTCTAGTACTGTTCGCGGGCAGGACCGACGCTCAGGTCAAGATTCGAGGGCATAGAGTTGATTTGATGGAAGTGGAGCGAGCTGTACAGAACATCAATGGAGTGGAAAAGGGTAAGTTATATATCGAATTACTATTATTATAAAAGATTGTATATGTGTGTGTTTGTGTGTGATATGCCTTTACACTCACACGGCTGGACCGATTTGGATGAAATTTTGTACACAGATAGACTATGAGCTGGAGTAATACATATCTTAGTCTTCAATATATAATAAATAATAAATATAATAGCCTGAATAATGTCGGTTAGAGCGATCAAATTCGCAGGGGCTAGTAATCTGTACGAATAATAAGTATTAAGCTGCGTAGCTTTTTTTATATCACATATAAAACAATAATATTGCTTTAATAAACAATTAATTAATATTTTTAATTTTTAATGTTCTTTATGGTTATACATAATATATTATATAATAATAACAACACTAAATAATATTAATTATTAAGTAATAAAGTTTAAAAAATGTAATATTTATAATAATAACAGCTAAAATTAAATAATATTTATTAAAAATTTAAACATGTTCAGAATTAAAATTAATAAATATTGTAAGGTACTTTGGTATCATTTTTTAATTTTTGAAACCATTTTTTTTTTGTAAAATAGTGGGTAGGCACTGTCTGTAACAAATAAATATATAACGCTTTTGAGACGTCTAATTTTAGACGGTCTAAAACCTTAGTAAAGCATTCGAAACGTCGAGAACCAAAAATCTAAATAAATCCGCAAAGATAGTTTTATTTTATAATATATAATATTTTTATTTTATAAATAAATAAAGTGAAGTTGGTTTTTTAAACTATTATGTAAACATAGTGCTAAAATGTTATATTATTATTAGTATGTATTTATGCAAACGTTATGCGTTGGCTTATCTGAAGAACGTATAATTGAATGATTTTACAAATTAATTAATCTAAGAACATATTATGAGCTTCGCTTAGCTAAATAATAATATCGTATAGAATAATAAATATTAATAATTTATTATTCTATAAATTACTATTATGTAGCTAAGCGAAGCGAAATAGCGTAAAAATTATAGAATAATAAATAATAATATGTAAATTATAATAAAAGAAACGTTTTTACAATTTTGATTAGTTTGTATTTTCACAACATTATTTTACATTGATACGTTTTATATTATCAACTAGCGACTCACCCTCGCTTCGTTCGGGTTCGCCTCTAGAAAAACCACAACAAATCTATCCCAAGAAACCGTACATTTTTCCCGTATAAAAAGTAGCCTATGTGATATTCCAGACAGATTGTAATCTATGTGCCAAATTTCATCTAGATCCGTTCAACCGTTCTGGTGTGAAAAAGTAACAAACATCCATCCATAGCTACGGGTAGCATCGCTGGTATCTCATATTTTTAACTGACTTTCAGAAAGGAGGAGGTTATCAATTCGTCGGAATCTTTTTTTTCTTTGTTTTTATGTATGTTCACCGATTACTCGAAGACGCCTGAGCCGATTTGGAATTTTTTTTTTGTTTCAAAGGGTATACTTCCCAGGTGGTCCCATATAAAATTTATCGAATCGGTCGAGCGGTTTCTAAAAAAATCTACAATAAATATATTTTTTAAATAAATTGTTTAATGGAATATGTTATTAAAATACTTTCTTCTTACAAATTACCTGCTTATGTCTACACTAAAAATGGAAAAATAAAAACTTAAAAAAAAAGGCGAATTCCAGGCACTAAAATGAAAAAAAGTAACTAAACGGGGGTTTTCATTTAGAATAGATACCTAATCAGATATTTTCGAAGTCGGTGCCAGCCGATGCAAAGCAAATCTAATTGTAGGCTATACATTATACATAAAATATGATTTTAACAGCTGTAGTCCTGTGTTACGGACTAACTACGGGCAACCCAGAGATTTTAGCCTTCGTAACCATTGAAGAAAACGCGCGGTTATCCGGACATCATATTGAGAGCGCCTTGAAGAACTCTCTGACACAATATATGATACCTCAGGTAAGCTATTTCTCACATAGAGCTAGTTGAAGAGCTTTACTCTATTTATAGATATGCTATTATCAAACTGATCCCATAGGTTATTAATTTATAAGTTACTTGAGGACACAAATAATAAGTATAATATAAATTGTCATTAAGATATAAAAATAATAATTGCGCTCGCTGGGATAATCAAGTGAAGCGGGTTCAAATTCCGGGTCTCACAACTATGATATTTTAATGTGTAAACCATTTTCCATTTCCCTTACGATGAATGCTACGATTTCCTCATGTAAATAAGTAATTTGAGATAGATATTGTAGTCCGTCAATACGTTCTTGTTCGATTTTCTCGCTCCTTGGTTATGTATATATATATATATATATATATATATATATATATATATATATATATATATATATATAATTAGGTATTAGGTATACCTATCATTTTTAATAAAAAAATCATGTTATTAATAAATAATTATTACGTAACATTAAAATATATATATAAATAATATTTATATTATTATTATTTTGTTTACAGGTAATCGTAATAGATAAGATTCCACTCCTCGTCAACGGCAAAGTGGACAGACAGGGGCTGTTGAAAATGTATGAGAACACAAATAATAACGGTGAGGCACATTTATTTAATATAGAAAATAATAACCATAAACACATACCTAACATTAACAGTAACTATTGATCGCACCGTTTCATTTGAACAATATTGTGATTGTTAATTTAAAATCACATAGGTAACCTAAATATATAAAAAAAATCTAAATCAGACCCAGAATAACTTTTTAATTGTATTTTATTTATTTAGTTAATTGACGACACGTTTGGCTCAGTGTGTAGTGACCCTACTTGCTGTGCCAGCGGTCGCGGGTTCGAGTACCGCTGGGGGCATTCATTGTGTGATGAGCACGAATGTTTGTACTCCAGTTATGGGTGTTTATATTTATAATATGTATGTATTTAAAGTTTATATATGTGTAGTGTATCAACTATCTGGTATCCATAACACAAGCCTCGTAGCTTATCATGGAACTAGATTGTGCTGTGTGTTAATGTCCCAACATATTTATTTATTATTTATTTATTTAAGCCTGAAAATATCCAGAGCACGTACACAGACCAGGGCTCGGAAACCCGTTCAATTTTTAAATCGGTTTTAGTCATTGACCCCAAACTTTTCGGTTTAAGATTTCGGTTACGTTTTTTAACCGGTTTAATTCGAGAGAACGGTTTTTGACGCATTTAGGTTCCATGACTAAAATTAACCAGTTAAAATAAGTTTTTGTGCGCTACATTTGCCGCGTCTTTACCAACGGTGAATGGCTTAGTAGAAGGATTCATGTATGTTTCTTATTTATGAATTAATTAACCGATTTATTCGGTATCAAAGCCGAAATCGAACCTTTCCCTAAGAATAGCCTTTTTAACCATTATAATTTCGGTTTACTAAGCCGTGCGTTCTCATTAACCGGTTAAAGAACGACCGATGAATTAACCATAACATTACCGAAATAAACCGTTTTTTAACCCGGTTCCGAGCCCTGGTGCAGACAGACAAAATAATACATACATAAACTGTGTAAGTGGAGTCGGTAAATTAAAATAAAATAGATATCTAAAGGCAAATTCCAGTAAAATATCAAAAAGTTTAACGTTGTATAGATGTTTACAAAACAATAATTATTAAAAACGATCATACAAATTATAATAATAATCATTGTTCATTAATTAACATAATTCAGTAATTGTTATCCGTAAGGAAAAAAATAGACTTTAAAGGAAAACGGTAATTCATTTTTTTTATAATTTTTTATCAAGGAAAAAAATGTGTAAAGAAAAAACCTTCATAATTAATTATTTGTTATATTGTATTATAGGTTAATGAAATTGACAAATCTAAACAGTATCCAAATAAAAATTATACACAGGAAATTTAAAAATAAAGTTTCTAGTAGAGTTAAAGCCATAAAGACAGTTAAAGAAAACTAAAATAGTTACACACACTCCGATTTGCCTCTACAATTATTGAACTGTATCTACACTTTAAGTCGGTTTCTTGCTTAAATCAAGCTTATGTCACTCTCCAGTCCTCCAACTCTCTTCACACAAATAATCACGCCAATCCCTCACTCTATTTCGACGTGAAAGAAGGACAAACAAACACACTTTCACATTTATAATATTAAGTATGGATTATTAGTTTTTTTTTGTTATGTAGGATGAATGCTATGATGGGATATGAATATATGATACGATCAGATCATTCATACGAGTACATTTAGCCATTCATAAATGTAGCGCGTTTGAAAAATAGACAAACGACCTTTTAAATCGACCTTTTAAATATAATAATAATATTAACTCTATAACAATTTAATGATTAATTTAATTAACGATTCGTGTAATTTTAGATGACGCGGAAATTCCCTTAGAAATGGACTACACAGGCGTTAGTCCTCAGGATTTAGACACAGCTAGAGTGTTGTTCGAGACCGTAGGCGAAGTCCTAGGGCGCTCCGTGCGTGGAGTTCTATCTATTAGGGCCGGATTTTATGAATTGGGTGGAAATTCGCTGAATTCCATTTACACTATCACTAGATTGAGGGATAAGGGACACTATATTGGTGAGTAGTTTCTAGTTAATATTTATAGTATTAGGGCGTTTCTTAAGATATGCCCACACTGTTAAGGCAGGGTTTGAACTATTTTTACATTCGCTAAACTAGGATAGATATGTAAATATTGAATATTTAATTGAATTGAGCAATTTTATATTTTGTGAATATATGTAGTTTCCATGTATGAACTCCTTTATATAGAAAAGTAAATTCTTTTATAAAAATAGTGTTCCTTCTTCAGTAAGATGATTGTTGCGAAGATAATTACGAGTCTGTTTTGCGATTTATACATTTTAAATTGTTTTTTTTTTTAAATATGAATTAAGTGTGATATCATATGACTTACATTAAGAATGTAAAAATGAGTAGGTATTTTCTATACTTCCTCACTCTGTAACACATAAAATCGAAATAGAGATAGCCTTATTATATTATTTTCCTATTTTGTATACCCTTGTACCTTTGACCTGAATTATTTATATCTACATACATATACTCGTAGTACATACATATAATAATAATTGATATTTACTAATAACATTTTTTCAGAGATCAGCGACTTCTTAGGCGCAAAGGATTTAGGAGAAGTTCTGTCACACCTCACAACACACCCAGAGAATATTTGTAACGGTGAAGAAAATAAGTTCACTGTGCAGGCGATGAGGAATGACCACAAGGAACGAGTTATTGAGTGAGTCATTGAACAAAGTTTTATCGTAGATCGAGTTTTATCACAATCGGTACATCTGTTTTGAACTTTTTCAAACGTTTCTAGCAAGCGTAGAAAAATAAGCGATTAGAAATAAACGTATAGGGTATTTTCAAGTACCTCTGCTGTTTTTGTCAGAACACTTAAATAAAAAAACATTAAAGGTGTCACTTTAAACATTAAATACTCATAAACTAACCTGCTTCATAGGGTTCCACTTTAAACTACAATGAATTACGTCAGTAGTTAATTATAAGCAATTTTTTATCTCGTATCGAAGTGAGTCCTTTTTTGTTTTGAGTAGTATATATAAATATGAACCCTCCTCCAGAATGATAGTGTCGTCGTTCTACGAGAAGGCGGAGCTGGAGCAGTTCGTGCGGCACGAGATCGCGCCGCGCGACTACGCGCAGTGCGTGGGCGCGTTCTGGCGCGCGCTGCTCGCCGCCGGCCTCAGCGTCGTGCTCGAGACTTGTTAGTCTATTTATTGTTATTATTATATAAATATATTCCCCTCGTATTGAAAGGAGACCCGTGCCGAGGAGTGGGACGTTAAAAATGCCTGAATACAATATAAATAAAACTATCTTTTCGAATCTCAAAGATATTCATTATAATTTATATTGTACGTAATTTATACTATACTAGCGACTCACCCTTGCTTCGCTTGGTTTGGTCCCGTAGATTACTTCCCCATACAAATTTCACTCCCATTTTCACCCCTTTAAGAGATGATTTCCGGGATAAAAAACTATTTTATGTCCTTCCCAGGGTCTCAAACTGTCTTCTTACCAAATTTCATCTAAATCGGTTCCGTAGTTTCGGAACCTATTCGATATAAACAAACAAACAAAAAACAATTCTTTTTTATAATTAGAATAAATAATGATATTTGAGACGTCTGAAACCTTAGTCTTTCCCGTGACTATATTATTGTTGTAAAGCATCCGAAACGTCGGGAACCAAAAATCATAATAAATCCGCGAACAAATCTGAAAAGATAGTTTTATTTAAAATATCAAATATTCAGCTAATTCTACGAAAGTATTACCACAGTCTACATAAAGAATATACATTCTCATTCGGTTTCTGGTTATTTTAAAGAATGTGGAGTAGTTCTTTCTTTATCTTCTAGATGTTTAAAAAGAAGCAGTTTACTTGATAATCACTCCTAACCGACTATTAATGTTTGATATTAAGATAATCCAATATAAAGACGAACATTGATACTTTTTTTGCCACAGCGACTCGAAAACCACAACCAAAGCTGATAATATAATAATAATATATAAAGATAAATAAATATATGTGTCCTTAGCGTCCGGTACTCCGGTAGCCGTCGCATTAAACTTCGACGCGCGCGACGAGCCCGACATCGAGCTCGGCGGCGGACTCGCCAAGATCATGACCTTCCTGGAGTACGTCGAGGGCTCTGTGCGGGACACCATGCTGCCCGAGGGGAAGGGTGAGTGTCTACTCCTGTCACTCTACTATATACTAGACCACCGAGGCAGTTAGGTACACATATACAACATACGTACGTGCACGAGTTTACATAATTAAATAAATATTTCTATAATTTATACATGAATTTTTAGTGTCGCTACGCTTCTTTCAATGTTCTCCAGATCGAGACATTTATCCGAACTGCTTCTAGAACTTACGCTTTAAAATTTTGAATTTCGCTTCTTTTATCGACGTACTTACTCCGCCTGCGGAACCAATTCCACAACCAGCACATACAAATCAAATCAAAATATACTTTATTCAAATAGACTTTTGGAAGCACTTTTAAATCTTCAATTTTATATTTTAAATTAAATGTCAGTGTAGTCAGTCCGTGGGGAATCCACCACCGGCAGGGAAGGCACTAAAATAAACCAGTATGTGGACTCTAACGGAGAGAGGACCTTCGGGCGCGCGCCCGACGACACGCTGCTGAGAAGAGCCGGCGAGAAACTCAACAGTTGCTCTTTTAAAATAATAATTGTGTACAATATTAAAATAGGATAGAATATATCTTTATTGCCACAATTGTTTGTTGTTACATAAACCTGTTGAAACCTCCTCTCTCTGACTCCCAAACTAGATTAAACCTGTATGTCAGGAGTCAGCGCCCTCTTCCATCTTTAATCATAAGTGGAGGTCAATAATATTACAGAGCATGTTTAACAGTAATAATTTTAGTATTTGTTTGTGAAAGAAGAAAATAAAAAATAAAATAAAAATTAACTTTAACAAAAATATACTAAGTGAAAAGAAGTTTCGTATTTATTTATTATTATCATTATATTGTAATACAATATCGTAGTCTCAATATCTCCGTATCCACGACGCAGGTGCAATCCTACACTCATTCATGATGGCGACAGACGCCAACCTCTCGGCTCGGGACAACGTCTCCGCGATACAAGCGTTAGAGCTCGCCACTGAGAGGATCGCGCGCGAGAAGGGCTTCCGCGGCGTCTTCACCACCAACACTAGTCCTTTGACACAGGTTGATTTTATTTTCATTTATTTATTTTCTAGCAACTCATCCTCGCTTCGCTCGGGTTCATCCCTGGCTTGCTTCCCAATACAAATTGTCATCCCCATTATCACAGCATTAAGGGATGATTTTCGGGATAAAAACTATTTTACTCGTCCACTTTTCATATCATTAGATTTTAAAAAATCTTATTTTAATAAAAAAAAAATTCTTTTAAATTTCTTCTATGCATAGCTTGTCCTGACAATAACAAACACAAAAAAAAAGAATTATCCAATTTGGTGCAGTCGATCGAAAGTTATGCGCGTACACATATTTCTGTGATTCATTTTTTTATTTATAAAGATACATAAACAGCTTAGAAGTTAGATTACATTAACAATTTATACCACGATACAAATTATTTACTATTAGCGTTTACTACGCGTTTACCCTCTGTTCGCTCGGTTGCGTCCCAGATACGCGGATTTTGTTCACAATTTTACAGGTTTTAATTGTTTTGCGAGGAACCCTAACACTTTTTCTAAAATAAAAGTAGCTTAAGCTACTCTTATAAAATTGGCTATCTGCCTGAGGAAGTCTCGTCAAAGTCGGTCCAGATATTCGCCGAAACAAACAAACATACAGACGAACATTTTAAAAATTGTTTTTTTTTTCTTATAAGTACCGTATATGTATACTTTCACCGAGAAAAACTTTTTGTTTTTGCATTATTAAAATTACAGAAACTTATATGAATAAACATAATATGTAAATTATAGTATTACTAGAAATGTTAAAAGTGTTTTTATAACTTTGCAGCAATTGGGAACAGACGTGCTCGGATTCCAGACATTATTGGACTATCAAATAAACCAGTATGTGGACTCTAACGGAGAGAGGACCTTCGGGCGCGCGCCCGACGACATGCGCGCGATCGTTTGTTGGAAACCAGTCGACTAACTTGAACTTACTAGGTATAATTGTACACAATTATTCTTAATAATGTTTAAAAATCATAAACAAAACACGCCTACAATTATATTTATAAAAAACGATCTTTCAAACTCATTTCTCAGTACAAAATAATATTAAAGATACCTATGTATATTTTCAATTAGTTATTGAGTAGTTAATATTGAACTTAACCCCACACTACTAAAAATCCAAACATATTTTTTATAATATACTCCTTTTTTAAGTGAAGGAATATAGCTCACTTAATATTATATGTAATAAAAATGATGACACAAACTAAATACTTATTTTGTATCTGTACTCATAAACATAGAGAAAAGTGGACTAAGCGTTTGAAACTGTTAGCTGTCAAATAACAGACGTGTGAACGAGACAGAACGATCATTTGGACTATCTATCTCTGTTTTCAATACTAATTTATTTTAATTATCGGTTAATGGATAAGAGAAGACAGAGTCCGTATTTATTAACGTTTTGCTCCTTTCTATAGGATGGTTATTTTGCGAAACCAACGCCTCGTCCATTACTTTATGTATATGCTTACTGTATTATTTTAAGCTGCACCAAAAATGTATCCATTGTTATACACAATAATTAGAATAGTGCTTTTTAAGTATTATTAATGAATTCGTTAGTCGTAGTGGCTGTAAAGTAGTAAACGAGTTCAAATTCCGCGGGGTTATTGTTTGGAACATACAGATGGTCGTCTCTCTCGTCCGATAAAGACAAAACATTAACAATTAAATTATAATGTAAAAATTAACAATATAATTATGTAGAAAATGTGATATTTTTAATAACCATAATAATTACTTATAAAATTAACGAATTATTAAGAAAATCGTTATCGTTATGAAACTTGTGATACCTAAATGTTTTAGTTGTATGTATTTAGTTTTAGTACAAAGTAGCATTAGGTATTTTAGTATTAGATTTTTGAAAAATTTTGGTCAGTACGATTGAAATTATAAATTTTGTATTTTTAACTGACTTCCAAAAAGGAGGAGGTTCTCAATTCGTCGGAATCTTTTTTGTTGTGTATATTATATTATAATAATACCGGATAATATATAGAAATCAGAATAATATTTCAATAAATTGGACATAGGTATGCAAAATTGGATGCAGCCCACGATAACCGTTTTTTGAGTTACTGTCATAAATGACACCTGCATTTCAACTTATATTATTATAGAAGGTAGTAAAATACCCGATATTTAAAAGGAATTGAAAAAAAAACTACGGTCTTGTTATTTTGATATACCAATTTTACTAAAACTCCTAGTTTCTTAAAAGAAAGTTTTTTTTGCATAACTACGTCCAATTATAAACAGGAAGAAATTTTGATTATATTCATATATTTATTTAGTCAAGCGACAGAAAATTTAATTTTTTCATTCCCAGTAAACATTCCAGTAGCTATTTTGTTAACTCGTAAAACTAAAAAGTTTCGATTATAATCAATAACTATATTTGTAGCAATAACCTATTTGGTTTAGGTTAGGCACTACTTATTGGTCCTTGTAATGGTTTTAACACACATTTGTATAGTATTGCTTTACTTAAAGATTTATTGTTTTTAGTACAATAATGAATAAAGCAATGCTGCCGTCAAAATAAAAAAGGCCCGGAATCAGCAAAAAAAATGGTACTTGATAGTTTTACTCATAAAGTCTTATGAATCCGGAGATACCATATCCATTTTAATCGTAACTACGTCAAAACTAGTAGTAATTTTGATGTAGTAGTGAGACAAAACTTCAAATATCTCGGAATCAACTTTGACGAAGTTGCGGTCTTCTTTTTTATGACGGCAGTATGATTATTTAACTTTTTAATTTAGTGACGTAATTTTAATTGTAAAAGTTAATCTGTGGCCGTACAACCTTGTTAGTAACGATTGTTGTTATAGAATTATTTTATAAAAAAATTTGTGCGTGTAACCTTCACGCGCGTTTGAAGTAAAACTTCTTTGGCGCAGCGCAGATACCGGAATTAAATTAAAACAGATAAAAATATTTTTTTTTATTATTAGTAATAAATATTTATTTTTATTAGTAATAATTATTATAAAAATATTATATGTAAATATACATATTTTTTTTAAATTATTAATGATTTTGGCTCTCACTTCCGCGACACTCTTTTTTCCAATGTATTGACTACTCAGTCACGCCTAAAGAAGTTTTACTTCCAACATAGTTTTAGACAAAAATTCGTTAAAATAAGGATGTATCTTATCTCAGTGTTAATAATTGTTTAATAAATATTGAAACTTATTTGTTTTACTTATTTTACTAAAATTACACCCAAATTTATTAGAAGACTACCTATCATATCATTGAAAATTATTGTTTTTATCACCTCCTATCATACTCTGGTCTGAAATATTTTGTTTAGAGACTTACACACCTAAAAGACTGACGAGGATTTTAAAAACAAAGGTATGTGATCGATCACTAAAAAACTAGATACACAATCAGCGTCAAAAAATGTCTTCACCGAATGAGCGCCCACTTGTACATTTGGGCGCGCTTTTAATTTAGTAGCATTTGAACGCTTCGACGGTAAACATGCCTCAATGCTCGTTTGGAAATTAAAAATCGCACATCTAGGAGGCTAAAAAAGGATGGAATTTTATATTTTCGGTAAGTATTAATATTATAATTATTATCACTGTACTATAAATACTGATATTTGGTCAAGAAATCATCGTAAAAACAATTTTTAAATTAAGTCGTAATAAACAGCTGTAATTTATAAAGTATCGCAATTGTAAAGATTCTGACAATGAAATTCTGACATTAAAACATGCGTGTAAGGTTGAATTTGTTTTGATGTATGTCTCGGTCGTAAAAAAAATGTCTTATACATAGCTTTGTGAAAGCAAATTTAAGCATTGCATATAAGGTTGAATTTACATTATTGTATATTTATTTCAACTAGAATTACCTAAACACAATGGGTGACAGCTTTGAGAGAACTTTTACATGGGATTGTGTATCTAGTACTTTAGTAATCGATGGGGTATGTAAATAAAAATTAATAGAATTGTTTAAACATTTATTTAAGAACTAGATACAATTGACTAGAAAAGTGTAACATCGAAATAGTTTAGTTAAATGCTACTTTAACTTTTTTTTCAAAAATGCTAATAAACAGATAATATCAAAGTCTTATCATCATATATTATTTCTAATTTGGTACTTTAAAGAATATTTTTACTGTAACTTGAAAATTTTCAATTTTTTTATTAGGGCTATTAAACTGTTTTAATTTTGAAAAAGCTATGTAACAATTGTGTTCGATTCGTAGCATTGTGACTATACACTACAATTATACTACCAGTTAGTAAGTTAATTTAGAATACTGTATTCTTAAAAATGCGACCTTACAAAACGCAGATTCTAATGATACTGATTAAATATTGTATTATAATTAATGGCTATTTTGATTTGAGATATTTAAGTTGGTTTTTATCCATTAAACTTAATCTTTTGAAATATATTTGAATTGAATTTTTACTCCACTGTGAATACACCTCTATCCTGCAGTTGAACTTATGACTGACTATTTTCTTAACGCGAATGGACTATAGTTAACTTAAGCTAAGTTAGCTCTAATTATCTACTCAATATATTTTATTATAAAGCAGATGATATAAACACAACACTGCTTGATAAGCCATGTTTGTTAGTTAGATAGTTATGTAAGTATTTATTGTTCAGCAAAACCAAGTTTTGACAGGCGGTTCTGAACCGTCACTTTCTTGTCAAATCGGACCAATCCCTGATATCCCATACTTAGCTAGTTCCGGTACCACGATATCGTCAATATCCGGTTTGAGTGACGCATATCCGGTTTTATCCATCAAATAGTCCGGCTTTATTGGCACGTAGTCGTCTGAACCGTCAGCTAAGTCGAGTATTTTGTCGCATAATTCGTCGTATTTAGTTGTGATATTTGCTTGGTTTAGGAGTTTTAGTGACTCTTCTAGGGCTAAGTGTGAGCGGGTGTGTTCGGGTGTGTGTGTGTTTGTTTGTTTGTCGGGTTTCCTGTGATGGAGAGAGTTCGTGTTGTATGGGGGAGGTTGGGGACGGTTGTAGTTGGACGCTAAATTGGTCGTCGATTTTGGACTGTACGGTCTGGTGAGACTGCTGTTTGGGCTGGAAAGATAATATTATTATTTAGTATAGTTGAAACTAAATGTTCACTGAATTTACATTAAAAGTTTTAGATTTTTAGTTGAAATATTATAAGAGTAACTTTGTGGCATTATATATTTAGTATTTACTTTAAAAATCATAAAAATATCTTTACAATTGAAAAAATTATGGATAATAATCAAAAAATGCCTTTAACAATGTAAAGTTTCCCCTCATTTTTAAAGTCGATCAAAAAATTATTTTCTTTACTCTCACCCAAACCTTACTGTTAAGGAAAGTTGATAGTTGATATAAAATCGATTTAATCGTTTGAGATATTAGCGGGCAATCATTTAACATATTGTATTTATTTTGAATGATATATACCTAATCCCCAAACTTTTATGGCTTGTGTTGTCAGCGTGCGTCTGCTCAGTGTTGCCAGTGCCATATCTACACAATTCCACTTTTGCCGACTTTTGAGTTCTGAAAAGTAAATAACAATCAAGTTAAATCAAATATCACGTAATATTTATAGCATCAACACATATTATATGGATTTTTTTTAGTAATAAACTTAAATTAAGTTTTCGGTTAGAAAAATGTATTACAAAAGAACGTTAATAATATAGTTTGTCTAATAGTAGGTATACAATATCACTAAAATCCATACAAATATTATAAATCTGAAAGCAACTCTGGTCTCTATATATCGGTCAGGGTTTGTTTGGCAAGGTTATAGATCACATCATGGAGTAGAACATAACTACCTTTCATCTTCATTCCACTTGCTATGCGAACCATGTCGTTGGTAAAAACTAGCTTCCGAGTAAATAAGCAGATTCGCAAAAGATATAATAACTTCTTTAGTTTCACCTACCATCTAAAAGTGATCTCTACTAAAACTTTAAAGTAACATTCATAAAAGTACAGCCGTCACCGTAGTGTAGCGTGTGTTGGCACGGACATTATGCTAGAGGTCGCGTGATTGATTACCGCGAAGGGAATGTTTTATCGACTTTCACATTTGTCTCAGTCTTAATAAAACGCAAAATAAAATGGAAAACATGCAGTGTTCTTGCAAAAGAAATTTTTGACTCTGTCATATACCGCCAAGAAAATTGTATGAAAATGTATATAAAAATGTAACTTTTTAGTATTCATTAGTTTGCATTTTTTTATTATATTAGTGTCATTAAAAGTTACATAAAGTTATTATCAACTTATTAATTTTCTTTAAATAATCAGTTATTAATGATGTGAGTTTAGAAACACTCAAACCTGCGGTTTCTATAATCTTCACACACGTGATATATTTCGTCCAGAAACAGATCTGATACTGGATCGCGTCTGAAATCCAAAGGGTAACTATTCGTTATTTTATATATGTATTCCTTGAATTTTTTTGTTTATACACTTTAATATTGAATTGAAATCCACTATAGATCTATTTAGAATCATAAAAACATATATATTCATATACAGAACTATATAATGTATGTGTGAATTATAGGTACACAAAATTAACAAAAGTGTTTAAAACTTAAATGTAGATATTCTCTTATAGAAGAATGATTTAAAATGGGAGCGTAATAACAAAAATAAAAGTATGATATATTGGGAAGGTAGCAATAAATTTAAATATTAAGTCGGCAAGGAAAATTGATTATAATTAAATGATTTTTCTCGCTTCCCTATATCTTTTTTTATAATCCAGTAATTATTGTAAAGAAAGTCAACTCTGGTAACACCAAAAGAGATTTGACATATTTTGGAATTTGACGTCTTGTGTTGTGGGCCCCTAATTCATTTTTTAGCACTGACCATGTTACTTCTGCGTGTATGTACTAGTATATCGTAGATACTTAGCTCATTTTGTTTTGAGTACGCATGAACAGAATGTGATGGAGACTGCCGTGACGCGTGACGCGAGGCAGTACATACACCAGCGCCCGTCGTCGGATGGGTGTGCACACCCAATATAAGGTCCTATATAAGTATACTAGCGACTCAACCTCGCTTTCTGCTCGGGTTCTTCTCTAGCTTGCTTCCCAATACAAACCTTCATCCCCATTTTCACCCACTTAAGGGTTGATTTCCGGGATAAAAATATATTATGTCGCTCTCAAACTATCTTCTTACCAAATTTCATCTAAGTCGGTTCAATAGATCCAGAGATTACCCCCTATAATGTCACAAACTCACAAAATCACAAACTTTACCTCTTTATAATATTAGTAGGTATAGATAAGAGGCTCACCTCGCACATTTAGCGCAAAGCGTGACAGAGAGCGCCGTGACACACAGGAGCAGCAAGAGCGCGGGCGCGGCGGCGGCGGCGGCGGCGCGGCGCGCCGTGCTCGCGCGGGGGAGGGCGGCGCGCCGCGGCGCAGTCCACACGCCCGCGCCCGGCGCTGGATGGGTGTCCGAGGTTTTACTCGGTAACTCTGTTAGATACTCTAAGCGTTCGGTAGTTCGTGCTTTGTATATTGTGTTGTACTGGAATTTCAATTTGGTTGTATTATTTTTTAGACTAAAGTATTTTTAAATTTTTTAGTACTACTTAATTATAGTTGTATACAAATACTTTTTATACCATCTTATGTAATAAACTAAATAAATAAAGATGGAGCACAATAAAATAAATAATATATACACAAAATAGAAAGTAGAATGATGACGTTCTCCTGACCGATTCCGGTCACGGCGGCCAATCTCGTTGAGACTAGCCAACTGCGCAGGAGATATTATAGTGTACGCGCAGACACAACGTGCACTCTCTATTCCTGTCACTCTCATACTCCGGTGGGACGACACGAGACACGACCGGTGAGAGTTAAGGCGCAGGACCGACGGCATTATGTGCTCTCCGAGGCACGGGGGTGAAACACCGCCAACTTCCCAACTCCGGGCTGTTACTGAGGCTTACTATACAGAAAGGCTCAGTAACTAAACTTGGCCCGACCCGGGACTCGAACCCAGGACCTCCGAGTGTGCAGGCGTACATGCTAGCCACTACACCACCGAGGCAGTCAAAAAATAATAAGATGAAGTCAAAAGCTCGTGTGTATATCATTCTTGAAGGTCTCTGTGGAAAGCTGGATGAAAAAAATGATCTTTCCTAAACCATCTTAAATTTCAAAAAATGATATATAGAATTCTTTATTGCACTGAAAAATAAATATAGTAATTTAAATAAAATTTTTGTTTGCAAAGGTGGACTTATCTCTAGAAGAAATATTAAGTATAAAATTTATAAGGTAGGTACTTCAATTATTCTACAGAAATGATTTAAAATATTCAAATCTATACATATAATAAAATTGTAACTAAGTCGAATCTGTACATTAAATATTTTTTGGAAAATCTAATTGAAATAGACATTATTATCGATACCGAGTCCGAATCTATAGTTTTTAGAATTTTTGTCTGTCTGTCTGTCTGTTACCGCATCACGAGAAAACCACTGGACAGATTTTGATGAAATTTGGTATGATGGTAGCTGGTTATCCGGGTCAACATATAGGATACTTTTTACCGCGAGAAAGCATTTCTGAGAAAAAAATACAAAAACTGAATTTTAAGAGTATACTAATATGTAAAACCTAAGAATTTGGTTTTTGGTCATCTGAACGCGGGCGGAGCCGCAGGCAATGCTAGTATTCAATAAAAATCAAATACTAATTGTGTAAACAACAGTACCTAATAACATATACTACTACATATATGGTGAAATACATATTAAAGTAAATTATAAACTTAAAAAAACACAAATGGATTCATCCATTTTCGATACCACAATGATGTAATATTTTTTTTAATTTAATATCTAGACTTAGAAGGAATCTTACCAGCTCAAAGCTACACCAATCCAGGGTCAGACCAGCATCTCTGAAAAGTCTTTCCACTGTTGTCCTCTTGTACTCCCTCGGACAGCTAGGCAAGCGCGATAGAGGGCGCACTTCCTCTCTTAATCGCTTTAGTTCCGAGGAAAATGGCATCGAACTGCCGAGACGGATTACTAATCTGATAGAAGATGAAATTTTCTGTTAAAATTTCTTAATTAATTGTGTAATCGGGGGCTTATACAAGGTAACAATCATTCTACACTTAGTGTCTGAAAAAAGTAAAAATGAATTAACGAAAAGTTAACGTTGAAAACTTAACATTAAATTTTCGTTAATTCCTTTTTTATTCATTCGTTAATTCATTTTATTTATATTATTTTAAAATATTATATTTATATTCATTTTAAAATATTTGGAAAATTATTTTTTTTCTTTTTCTACCTAGGAATGTAGCATGTCATTTCGTTTAAGCCTCCTGGATCTTGGACGTTTTGATTTTCAAATTTCTAACAATCTCATTGATGTTTCCAATTATGTAAATGGTGGACAATGACACTCTTTAATAGTTGCTAGTAAAACATTCGAGTTTAGGCTCATTTGATATGTTTTGACGAATCTCATACATTACAGTTGGTTAAAAGCGTGTTTCTTTACTCCAGGGCCGGACTATAGTATCAATAATATAAGTATAATGATGCTTTGTTTCAAATATATATAGCCTAAAAGACTATATATAAATTGTAATACTTCCTCTTTTACTAAATCATAAAGAAAGGTTTAAGGTATATCCACACAATTAAATTTTAATTAAAATATCTTACCCCTCTCCATCGCTGGGCTTTAAAGGTAGTCTTGCGCCTAAGTCGATAGCAGATGCGAGGAAAGTCGGATACAAATCTTTACTACTCTCAGTCCATAGTTTAGTTCTCAAAATATCTTTTAGACGAGTCATTCTAAAAAAAATGAAGAAAAGTGTTATGAATACGAAAATGTAGTAGATTTCTATGTATTTCTGCTTTTGGCATTCTCATATGTAAACCACACACTTGTATGAAACAAAAATCTTACATTCAGGAGATGAATAGACTAGTTTCAATTTTGTATGTCTCGACATTGGTAGAAAAAATATGTAATCAGTAATGCGTTATTTGTTATCAAACACATTAAAATGGCATTACCTATAGGTACATTTTTTATTTTACTAAATACTGCCAGATATTTTTTAGAACCGAGATAATTTTTTTGTTATCTTAAACAATAGACTTAAATCACTCTGATTTAGATTTAAATCCGTCAAATACTTTATATATACATAATTTATAGACGTACTTTCAAATTATTAATATCTTATAAAAAAATCATTTACCGAGGTAAGATTAGGACTAACCTTACCCATGAATCTGCCCACGTAATTTATATATGTGTAAAACTGCTGCACCATTAAAGGTCGAAGCTTGATGCCATAACCTTCCTCAATAAATCTACGAGTAATATATAAATATCTCGTGTCACGGTGTTTGTGGTCGCACTTCTCCGAAACTGCCGACCGATTTTAATGATTTTTTTGTATATTTGGTAGGTATGAGAATACATCGTAAAGTATTTTTCACCCTCCTACCCCCACCCCATATATTTTAATCGCGATTTTAGTATTCTTGTATGAACAATATTATATAAATACATCCCGTGCCATGCCGTGCCGTGAGCCCGAGCGAACCGAGAGTCGCTGTATGACATAAAGCCAATGAGTTTTCTTTTGTAGATTAACACGAGCGTAGCCGCGGGTTCTGCTAGCAGCTAGTAACTATATATAAAAATTGATGTGTGTATTTACGTTCCCTATGGACTTCAAAACGGAGTGATTTTGATGAAATTTTCAGGCAATCTTCAGTTTAGTCTAGCGGATTATCCTGAGAAGTTTGGTAGCTATTGGATTTGGAAGCTGCTGGTACTGCTAGTGAAGTATAAAATGCAAAACGATTTTCTCAAACGTTATTAAATTCCAGATATTGGCGCGTTCAAATAAAAAATAAAGTTCAAACAAAGAAATATATTTACATTATTAGAATTACTTTTGTTTCAGCGAAAGGTTCAGGTAGACATATTATTTTTTAGGTTTGCAAATATTAGTAAAATGTTAAAATAATTGAAATGTTCTTTACCTATGTTCATCCAGCAGGTCTTCCACATTAAGATTATCAATTTTCAACTCAACTTCGTGCTTGGCCATTTTCTCTTTTGGCTCTACTTTTAAAGTTAGAAGCACTCGTCGCGTTTCATAATCCTGACGATTCAAACCTATTACTTCTATCTGAAATAATAAAATGAATTTTCTTAGTATTTTATGATTATTTTAAGAGTACTAACAATGATCGATTCGCTACTTTTTAAGTGCTGCGTATTAAGTATTAACAGTGCAAGGTATTAATTAAATTATTTTTTCAAAATTGCTGCTAAAAGTATTTTAATTAAATAAGTATGCGAAGGTTCAAAAAAACATGTCATAAATTCAAACCAGTAAAAGGTGGCCCAATTCAAAAAAAGCAAATTTGTAACTTAAACATTAGCGTACTAAAATGTCATTTTCTCATTTCTAGCAAGTTGGGTTGCACCAGCCACATCATTTAAAAATAAATGTATCTGCCTTATATGCCTAAATACTTATATGCCTAAATACTTACATGTTATAACTAGTGATTCACCCTCGCTTCGCTCGGGTTCGTCTCTACGTTGATCCCCATACAAACTTTTATCCCCATTTTCACCCCATTAAGAAATGATATCCAGGATAAAAACTCTCCTATGTCCTAGGATCTCAAATTACCTTCTTACCAAACTTCGTCTAAATCGGTTCAGTAGTTTCGGAGCGTATTCAGTACAAACAAACAAACAAAAAATCTAATCTTTCCTGTTTATAATATTAATATAAATTTGTTTTATTATTATAAACAAAATTAATCATTTCAGTTTCGCGCCTTTTATTTATTCATTTTTTTTATTATGTAAGTATGACTATAAAAACACATACTACTTTTATATATAATTATATAAACAACATACAAATTTAAAAGTAAAATAAACCAAAGGGTATGGTATGGTATAAACGGGCTTGTTTCCGCAACTCGACGTCTGCACGCCTATTTTGCGTGTAAACCAAAGGGTATTTCACGTACATTCTACCTAAATTTAGAGTAAATAAGCAAAACTTGCAAAAATAGGGCAGCCATAAAACCACTAATCGACAACGAAAATAAGCAGACAGGGGCTTCTTATACGTACTAAACATCAAACATCGATCAATAGTGAAAAACAACATTTTTTTTATTTTTCCAACGGGGCTCTATTCTGAAGCTTTTGAAGAATAGCTCCAAGAAAGGAAAAAATCTCTAATTTATAGTTTAACAATTATCCACACTTGCAATGTTGAAGCAGATTTATCTGCTTATTATTTAACTAATGCATAACTAATTTAAAAATTGTGATAAAAAAATGTTTCCGACGGATTATTGTTCGTTTATTTATCCAGTTAGCATTTAATATGTTAAAATATTCTTTATTGCGAAGTAGGCGTGGATTGCTCAAGCCAGAGCCAGAGGTACGTTTTAGGCCAGCCCGCATTTAACCAGCATGGTCGACAATGGAATTATCCACCTTGTAGAGGGATTCCCGTGCCCGGCAGTGGGACATTAAAAAGGACTGAATACCTATACGTATGTATATTATAAAATATCTTTAGGTTCATTATAATTTTTTTAAAGTATTAAATTTTTGTTTGTTTTCCTCCTTTACATGTACATTTGAACTAATTATGCCGTACTAAATTATTTGTACATTAGTTATCAATTCAATATTATAAGCTATAGGTACATTCGTTTATAATAATTATATATGTAGAGCAAAGGATAAAGTAAGCTACAGCTCATGCACATGCAGTCTAATATAACGTACAGTAATAGGAGACGCGGTATTCCTTGGTGGAGTACCAAAAATAAACCCAGAATGATGTCTCCCGCTGTAAATGTACCGCAGCCATGAAGGCAACTCCGGTTTGCCGATTAGAGACGCGTGGAATCGATATTGCTGATCAAATTCTGATTGAACAAGGAATTTTCGTATGTTAAGAGATATTATATATATTTTTATTGTTTAAAGGTACAAGTCCTAGCTCTTCTCATCATACGGTTCATTTATGTCAGTCTATGGGGGAGAGAGGATTTTACAGACCATCTCTTCTCTCTTTAGTCTAGTGGAATCCATTATAGGACCTATTGTCCACAATAGCATAAACAGGTCCAGAATGTGAAAATATTTTAATAAGTATTAGATCTATTACAGAACAATATTTACATATTATACATAAATTGAACCCACGACATCCGATGTTGGAGACGAGGGACAATACCAAGACCGGAAAACGTTTATTTTTGTGCTTACGAACTATTTCGTATAAGTTAAAAGTATGGCCAAATGCCAATCATATATATTAAACCTTTTTGAAGTCGGTTTAAAATGAAAATATGAGGTCAATAGACCCAAGTAGATAGTAATGACTAGTTAAAAATAATACTATAAATAAAATAGACTCACCTTGATAAGTCCAGTTGAATAAATTAGGGCTTATCGGAATCGCAAACATTTCCGTTTCGACCGCATTGTAAACATGGCCTAATGAAACTTTTGTAAATAACAACAGCCATAGTAACGTCAACATCATATCCTGGAAGCAAAAGTATACCATGCTAATTAAATTTAATTAGTTTATATACAAATAAAGTATTTTTATATTTCAATTGCATTCAAGCTTATATGTAATAATTAATATTGATACGTAATCAAAACTATATAATATATAATAGGTATATTGTTTTGTACCTGAGAACTTACCGGTGATGTGGTGTGGACAGTAAAACTGATCTAATTCACAATTATAGTCACACAGCTATCGATTCCCATGCTAAAATATTACAGCGAAAGGTTACTGTGGACAAAATAGCAAGCGCACATGAGCAGAAGATACCGGCACGCCCCACAGAGGCGTATTTTAATTAATACTATGCATTATTTCATTAAAATAATATTAATATGTATAAATATAAATGAAATATAATTGAACGTAATGTATTAAAAAATAATTAAGTACTTGGTATTTTAATCTTTATTTGTAATTTAACTTCCATATAGATGTGGTACACAAAAAATATGACATCGTTAGAAAATCACCGACGCAAATAGAGAATAAAATATTAGAATAATATAGTATATTTTTTGCGTCAATTGCGTGCGTATTTATTAAGTAACTTGCGATTCTCTTCCCATTTATTTACGCTTACGATAAAAATAAGCAAGTACGTCCCTGAAAACTAGGCGTGACGTAAAGTAGAAAGACGTCATTGGTTAACAGCCAACTGTTTTTGTATTGAATGCTACGTTCCTTTACACGGAATGATACGCGTCAACTATTGTCACAAAAGCAATAAATGTGAAAAAAATATTGTTTCACATGCATATACGCAAAATATAAGATATATTTCATAGTTCTCTTAAAGTATGTTAGTAAATTACCAATAATCTGAATAAATTTCTTCAATTCCAATTTGTTTAATGATATACTACGAAATGTTATACAGATCGAACATAAAACTTAACGTCATCCATTCATTCTTTAGTCTTTACAAATGTCAGATACTTGAAAGGGCGAGGAGGGCGATTTTGTGTTATCGAATAAAAAATTGTTAAACAGAATAATTGTTGTAACCATAATAATGTTATCAGTGGAACTCGGAAATTGGGCGTTTGCGCGCCTAATTCATCAAGTCATCAAAATATAATACCGCACTTAAATTATTTTATTTGGGCGATATTGTTTTCGATACGTTTTCGGGATGTTGAAGTTTAAAAAAATGGGTTCGGATAAAGTGCCGTTGTTGCTTGTGACCGCAAACGTCGGATCCATATTCGAGGATGTGAGTATTGTTATGATAAATCACGTAATTGTCGCCTACACGTACACTATGGTCTGCCATAATAATTGCCTATCTACCTACATTATTTTAATTAAACGTTGCGCATGTGACACTGGTCTAATTTTGAAGCAAGTGTTTTACATGTCATTGCACGCAAATTGCTTTTCGTCACGCTCACTTGATAGAATCAATTTTATTTATACAATACTATTTTAACATCTTTGTTTCATTTTATCTGTCAATGTCTTAAGCTAGCAAAATAAAATATATGTATGTATGTACTTGAAATAAAAGCACTGTAATATTACTTGCATATGGTAACTATTACATATATTTGATAAATAAAACTATTTGCCAGTTATGTTATGGAAGAGTTATAGTTTATAAAATTTCTTAATGATCTCATCTTTACATATTAAATCCCATTTAAATGTTAACTTATAACTATATACTCTCTGATGAAAAGATTTATTTTTTATACATACTTATTCGAATTTTGATTCTGAGAATAGGTCAATATTAAAAGATATTGATGGAACTAATTAACGATAATGTATCCGAAACAGACTTTACTATTATATAAAATAGGTCATAATCATTATTAAAATTAATTATAAATTTACATATTTTTCCCATATATTTAGATATAAGATGAATATGTAAATTGATACCATTTTAATAGTAATGTTATTACATTTCTTGGTAATAAAACAATTTTGTGTCTATAAAGCTTAATTATATTATAATATAATTCATTAATCATTAAATTATTAAATATGTTAAATTCTGTTATAGATATATGTTGCCATTGCTTATTTAAAATTAAACATATATTTTTTTTTAAACTAAAAAACAAATAAAAAAATAAAATAAGTAAGTAAATTTTGTTTGAATTACTTCCATATTTTTATTCAATTTTTTTTATAATTCATTAATAATTTACTATTATTATTGTAAAATATTATAAATTGTTGTAAAAGTAAAAAAATTGGCTCCATATGTGCTGTTTGTTTTAACTCTACTGTAATAGGATAATGTATGCAATCAATACACTCTAAGAGTTAGACTAAGTACTACATACAACACTACATGTACAAAATTTAAATTATAACATCAAATAATAAAATTGGTTTTTGTTGTCTTAAGACTTGCACTAATTACGTGTCAACAATTTACTAAAAAAAAAAACATTTTTTATGTTTTTATAAAGAGTGCACTTTATCAGCAGTCAATCAAGCTTTACACGATGATTCATATAAATAGGTAAACATAAATAATTGCTGACAGATTAAGATTATAAAATATACATTTTTTGTTGTTAATTGTTTATATGTTTTCCTTATTTTTTTTCCTACTGTAAGCTTCATAATATTAAAGTTTGTATATAAAGATCTGTATGGTAATGTTATGTTTTAAGTTCTTTTTAACAAGCTTATTATTAGCTTCACCTGTATCTAATCTTTCAAAAAGCACTTATTCAAAAGTACTTGTAACGAGTCTAATTGAATATAATTTATTTCATTTAATTTTAATGCAACTTTCACCCACTTCAAAAGATCAGATTATCAGCACACTTATCAAGGACCGATGACAATACAATAATTTATTAAACTTTTTTATTAAAAAAATATTTATTTAAAAAACAAAAAAGAACAACCTTTTATAGCAGATCAAAGTTAAGAATGGAAATTAAATTATAGTTTAAAAAACTAAAAATATGCATTAACAATGAACCAAATTAAAAAAGTAAAAAATAAGTTTTAGTACAAGAATAAAGAGATTAACAAGAAAATTAATGTTATTGTGAAAAAAGTGTGGGGTGCTCGATAAAAGTAGATTTAGTATAAAAATATTGTACAAAGCACCCACGCTTTTTTCAAAATAACAATAATTTTCTTATTAAATAAAACTATCTTTTCGGATTATTTCGCGGATTTATTTTGATTTTTGGTTCCCGACGTTTCGAATGCTTTACAGCATCCATGGTCACGGGAGAGACTGAGGTGTTACATGTCTTGAAGGTATAGTTATTACAGACAGCCTACCCACAATTAACAAAATGAAAATTGCACCAATTACATTACAATATTTTTAACTTTAAACATTTTTATAATTTTAATTATAATTGAATATGGAAAATTATTTTTTAATTTTTGCTATTATTTTTATAATTATTACAATTTTAAAAAATATTAATTAGTAATCTATATTTAGTGTTGCCATTATTATATTTATAACCATAAATAAAAATATAAAAATATAGTATTGATTATTAAAGCCATATAATTGTTCTATGTGTAATTTAAAAAAGTTAAAATTAATTAAGGATAATCATTTTAATTTAGTTTGCTATTATTTAAAACAACTTACTAAGCAACACTATTCATATATACTTTTACAAATGAAAAATATTAATCTGATAAGCTGTCATTTTGATCTACACAGTATGAACTTACTACATCTGTCTGTCTGTTATGTTTATATTTTATAATAATTTTCTTGTTAATCAATTCATTCTTAGACAAAAAAATATTTTTTACTTTTTAGTTTGCTTCATTTTAATCAAGGTCTTTCTTTAAATTACACATGTACATGTAAAACATATACTATTTATAATATTAATATCTATTTTGACATAATCCATTATTTAAATTGAAATGAAATGAAAATTAACTCTAAAATAACACTTAATGAAGCACTTTTTAAACATCAATTCCGTTAGGAAGTTACCATTGGTTATGTCTTAATTACTTTTCTAATTTGTAAGAAAACTTATACGTAGTATCCATTGATTAGATTTCTCTTTTTGAAGTTATAATTTTTTTTGCATGTTTGGAAAAAATTATGAGAATAATCTTTTTAGGAAGCGCGCGCACACCGACAGCCAAAAACGACATGATGAAGTTATCATATTGAGCTTTTACAAACAGAGAGTTGTGACGTATGTCACAACTCTCTATTTGTCCCAATCCCGTATGGAATGAAATCTTTAGCTATTTTTGTTCTGTTACGCCAAAGAGTTATAACTTTTTATGTGCGTTACACACGTTTTTTTTATTCATATATTTATTACAATAACAAGTCACTTGAAGATTGATAGGTCTACCAACACCCAAATACCAGTACTAGGTTTCCTAATACTCTTATCTTGTTTTAGCCTTCGGTTATGCTCCCAATATGGACATCAGAGTTCTTACAAGCAGTCTCTCGTATGGATCCCAAGTTTATTGCCTTGCATCTTCAAGAAGTTGGTGGTAAAGCATATGAGAAGTCAATGCAATATGTGCAAGATTTTGTACAGCGGCTCTGCGATTGTCCAGAGTTGAGGCTATATGACAAGATAAGGATATTCTTAGATGAAGATTTCAGCTCGCCAGAAAAATTTACGGTAAGATTTGTATTGATACTAGCTGACGACCGTTCAGTAAATCTATTTATAATTTTCTACACAATTTTTGTTTGACTCCTTTGATGTCTAGCAACTTCTCTGAGTGTGACAAAAAGTACTTTTAGTTTCTTTCTCAAATTTTTGGGCATATTTTCAAAAAAAAATCCTTTAAAATTATCCCGTATTTCGAATATTTTTTAAAATAATCAATCAAATCGGTTAAACCGTTTTCAAGAGATCCATCTACCACATTTCATTTTTAATTTTTATTGTACCTAGTATATACATATTATTATACAAGTACTTCTTTGAAGGCTGTTTAAATAGCCTCGAACTTATATGTGACAGTTTTAAAAAATATGAATTTTATATTCAGTTCTTATAAATGGAGAAGCTTCATGATGTTGTAAATATCATATTTAACGCAATGAAATTATATAATACAGATCAAAACTAATAAATCAGTGATTTTTTTTTGAAGTCTCGTCGTGTGACGTCACAAAATTATTCATATAAGCGCCAACTTTAATCTTTCATAACTTTTCATTTGTAGAGATATTTTAATCGTTCTTTCATGTTTTGTTATATTTTGCCTAAATTTTTATGATTAATCCACAAACAGGTAAACTTCTCCATTGTAGGTAGGTGCCGTAAAACGGCAGGAAGTAAAAAGCTACTTCATTTATTTTTATTTTATTTTTTTATTTATTTATTTTCATTCGGACACAGGTCCATATTTTCATATATCTAAAATATTATTTAACGAAACTTAAGAAGGATTTTTTTTAGAAGTTCGACATTTTATTAAAAATCAAATATTACTGTTAAATATATAGAAGTATATTTTATTTATATGTAGGTACATACGTTTTTACTCTAACGCCACTCTTCGGAGAGTTCACTAACATCCATGGGATTTTCCACTATAATTTTCGTTTTTAATTTTCATGAAAAACAATCGATGACTATGTCTTAGTCATCTAATTCTTTTTGTCACCGATTTTCTGGGGATTTACGTTATTTGTTTTTTCAAACATGAATTTCAAATTTTTGTTGGCTATTTACATGAGCACGTAGTATTCACGCCTAAAACTCAATACAAACATGAAACAACAATAAAAAGTACCGTGATATGGCATTGAGCATTATAGCTATGGCTTGAGTAGGAAGAATATATTGGGACCAAAAACACTTACGAATATGTCTTTTAATGTAAAAATTTATTATACTACGTACTAATACCTAGATTTATTGCCAAAAACTGGTTATTGAAACCCTGCATATGAACGTGGAATGACTGGGTTTTAGATGTGGCAAGTATGTTAAGTGGAAAGTAGGTCGTTAGTACTTCGAATAACCTATTTAGCCAATAGCCTGCACTGTACTTAATGACCTAAACTGAAGTTCTGTATAATATACGTAAGTAAGTTAAGGCAGAATTCAGGCCAACTAACTCATATCTGAAAAAGAAATGAATTTATCAAATGTGCCATTTGCGCACTTTTATTTATTATTCAGCCGTAAGGGATAAAATTTTATCCCTTACGGCTTCAGTGCTAAGGGATTGCTAAAAGTTTCATTCAATAAACAGTGCTGTAACTAATAAATAAATTTATTAAAAATAAAAACCCGACTGCATAAAAGCTAGCTAAAAAAAATAAAACAAGTTCAGGAGGGAATATAGTATTAGGCAGTCGGAGACATATGTACATACGGATATGCAGTTGGGTAAAAAGGTTTTAAAAAGTCCAATTAGTACCTACTGTTAGAAAAGAAAATACTAAGTGCTTTTAATATTTCAATAGCCAAAGTTATTTTGACTATAATATTATTTATACTAAAATAAACAGCGCATGGTACAAAATCAACATCCGATTCCAATTCGAGACGAGAGAAACGGAAAGAGCTGTTATGTATACATTGTGTTAAATAAACCGCCACTATCGATAAAATTAGAGGGCGGATGACATACAAATGTCGAAATCCGTACAGTGTTACGATTATGTCGGCACACTCGATAACTCTCATAATAGGATGTAAAGAAAAGTACATAGTATACATGAACAACAATTCTAAATAAATCCTAAATATTTTACATCTCAGAGGAAGCTTTAGAAATATGCGTAAAACTTACACTTTTAAAAAAACCCTTCCTTTGCGTTTCTGTAAGGACATATTTTCTATACCTACATATAATAAAAGTGTTACTGATCGCTGTTTGTATATATACATGGAAGATATTTGACAAAAACTATTATTGAGGGGTTTTTATTAACGCAATAGAACCCAAAACAATGATTTTTAGATTTTTTTTGTCTGTTTGTCTGTGCGCTTGTGCGCGCTAATCTCAGAAAGGCTTAACCGATTTGGGTGCGGTTTTCACTAATGTGTTCTAGTAAGTTTCACTTATTATTTAGTATTTGTTTCATTTACACCGGTTCGTAAATAAAAAAGTTATGTCAATTTAAGCAATCACCTAGGGACGAACAACAAACGAAGCGAAATTGAGTCGCTAATCTATTTATATGCTTGAAACCTAAATTCTGACTTAATAAATAAATAGAATAAGAAATTTCATTATATTGCTAAGTTCACGTAATTTATCGATACGCCCTACAAAAATTACATTATATTATGAACATTGTACATACATACCATCTATGACTATGAAAATATAAGACGATGTCAAGGTAAAAAAATTAAAATATCTTATATGTTGACCCGGATAATCAGCTCATACCAAATTTCATTAAAATCCCTCCAGTGGGTTTTCCGTGAAGTTGTCACAGACAGACAGAGAAAAACTCTAAAAACTACAGATTTCGGTCTCTGTATGGATAAAAATTATTTAAATAAATGTCTGTTTTAATAAGTTTAAAAAAAATATTAATGTACAGATTCGGCTTAGTCACAATTTTATTATATGTATGGATAGTATATATAAATCTTTATTTTTGATTTAGAAATACGTAATATATAACGTTAATATTATTTACACTTTAGCTATTTTTATTAAGGAAAGCTCTTTCTGGGATATTCATTACTTAGTTATGTAAAATCTTTTTGGCTATAATCATTTTTTGCGGACGACTCTTTATATGTACATATAAGGACGGCATATCTATACATATAATAAAATTGTAACGAAGCCGAATTTGTATATTAAATATTTTTTGGAAAATCTTATTGAAATAGACATTATTATCGATACAGAGGCCGAATCTATAGCTTTTAGAATTTTTGTCTGTCTGTCTGTCTGTTACCGCATCACAGAAAAACCACTGGAGGGATTTTGATGAAATGTGGTATAGTGATAGCTGGTTATCCGGGTCAACATAGAGGGTACTTTTTACCGCGGGAAAATATCTCATTTCTGAGAAAAAATACAAAACCTGCATTGTAAGAGTATACTAATATGTAAAATCTAAGAATTTGCTTTTTGGTCATCTGAACGTGGGCGGAGCCGCGGGCAATGCTAGTGTGCAATATAACGACATATATAACGACAAACAAAAGTTGTTTTATTTTTTCGAGCTAACCTTATCACCCCAAGAAATTATTACATAGTTATAATCGAGCTCGTAATAGCAGCGTCCATTTACAATTTTACGCTTTTCTTTCAGATAAAAAAAAAAACAAAAATCATTATATTACTTTTAATAATTTTAAATATTTTTCTATGGTTTGATAAGAAATATAAGAATAAATTATATGTATATTTGCGTAATTATTAGCCGTTTACGGATATATTACGTAGATATTGGAATGCAGAAAGGAATGCTACTCAAAGTATGACGTAAAGCTATTGAACGTACTCACCTTAAAGGAGTTGTGCTAATTTTAATAGTTCTTTACTAAACAATGATCAAATTGTTATATTAGTGTAGAAGGTACCTTGTCCTAAGGAAATAAAGTGCTTTATTGATTGATAAGTAATACAATTAATTCATTTAATAATTCAAATAAATCATTGATAGGTAAAATTTATGACTTATGGTAAAAAAAATGTCAATAACGATAATGTCGAAACATTAACGTTGCCATGACAACGAACTTTTTCGCCATATGTCGTATGTATATTTTGTTATGTGGCATTTTAGCCTTTTATACTCATAACTTACTCATCAGTAGTCTGAAAGTTCTACAAACTTATCAAGCTTCAAGTGAAATATAATGCTTTTGTTACAGAAATATTTCAAAAGCTTTTTGTCTAAATATAATATATTACATGCAGTTTCTCTTTTTACATAATACGAGGCTTTGTTCTTCTTTAATTGAGTAATTGTTTTCAACTTCATAATGAAGTTTATTGTTAGCTTTTCCGGAATTTTGTGTAAGTTACAACTTATTTATATTAAAAGTGCTTATACAGTAATAAAAACATGTATTTTTTCTATAATTAATCACAAAATTATTGTAAGCTTCACGGAGCTTTTTTTTATATCATTTACTAATATCCTGCGAAACTACTCGATGTATTAGGGAACAAAGTGCCTATGTCACTCTTCACACTATCAATCTTACTGCTTAATCTTACTTACTGCGTAGGAAAGAAAATAATTATTTTTATTTAAATATTGCTAATGATAAGTCGGTCTAAAAATACAGCTCTAGTCTTCCATATTTTACGAACCTCATAAAATGGGAGAAATAATAGCTCAGTGCTATAAAGATCGCGTGTTCAGAAACTACTTGCGTATTGAATGTACCTATCACAGAATAATGTAGCTTGCAGTATTATTAAACTCTTATTAGCAGCTCCGTAATTCGGTTATCTTGTAATATCCGTGTAGAAATTACCAATCTGTGGACATATTTTTACTATAAAATATCTCGTTCTCATTAAACCCTCTTTAAGCAAGAAAGCGAGGGGGGTCAGGTCTTAGTCCACCATGTTGACAAAGTGTTTTGCGGACTTTCACGTCTTTCGAAAACTAAGACTAGGTTCTCTTAAACATGAATGCTCAGACAGGGTAAAACCCGGATAGCCCGGATTGCCT